CACGGGGAGGGTGCCGTAAAGTACCTAGATGTAGTCTTCACGTCGCGACATCTGAAAATCCGATGGCTGACTGGTGTTTGAGGGCAACGCGAGTACGAAATCAACACTGGGAAATACGCCAGATTAACGTCTGCCTTCTTATAATACCCATGACGTGCTTGAATCAATGACGGCTCTTCACGAGTTGTAGCTTGGAAGAGAGGACTTGGTCTTCACTTTTAATTGCCTAAACTGCAAGCTCTAGGCTCTCCTTAACGTCTTTTTTATGAGGAGCTCACACATGTGATATGGGAACCGCCTTCCCAGAAGCCTGATGCATGTTATGGACACCCTGTCGTTTGCGCAAATAGTGACATCCTCGATCGCGACGAATTGTCGTTGGCAAAGGGGGCCATGACCGTTGAAAATGGATCATGGGGAGGGGAGATTTTCTTAGACCAAATTAATACATGTGATAGTATATGTCAACTTGCCGATACAAGCGAAAATGCGAGTCTCGGGAAATAATTGAGAAGTAGACCGTCACCCTATTTGCCTGCCGTTTTGTCTAATCGTTTGAACCCATCTTCAGAGAGGGACGGGTAATTCGTATAAAGATTGTTGCGGTATTTACCGCATAACTATAACAATTAAAACACCCCTCCCTGTCATCGACAGGGATTGTCCTCTGGTGAGGTCTGGTGCCCTCTGATGCGGATCGTTAGCTGCGGAAATTTTATCGTGGTGATGGCTCGGTCGCCTGGCTCACGGGCATTGACTTTTGAAAGTGTGTTCGCCTGCGTCACTCGGGAAGAGATACGCTTCATTTTGAAATTATAATTCCAAAATTTTCAGCAAAAAACGTCCTTCATTCAAAGGGAATAAAATTAGGCGCACAAGCTCACAGCACCGGGAAATCAAAAGTAATCCAAGGACTGCAACTTTCGACATCGTGGATTGTTAGGGAGGCTTGGCAGATTTTGTTAATTCAATTGACCCGGTTTTTAAATATTTGCCGCCTCGGTGGGACTCAAACCTACACAGCAGGGAAGGTTTTTGCGCAGCCAATATTCTACAATTGAGCTACGAGGCTCACCGTGCGCCGTGAATTTACTCAGACTTGGGAGCCTAGTATTCGTTCTGGCGGATTCTAGATGATTGATTAGGAAATCTTGCCTGGGAAGTCAGCTTTCTGTTCGATAATGATAGATTCCATACGGGCGGTAAGTTGGGTGGGCAGAGTCGATCAAAATGTGATTAAATTCACGACGTACGGTAAGCCTCGTAGCTCAATGATAAAGCGTTAGCTACGCAAAGGCTTTCCCTACTGTGCGGGCTCAACTCCCACTCAGGCCGCGATTTTTTTAAATTTGGGTCAACTGAACATAGTGGATAAATGTCCTTCGAAAAGTCGTCAATTATAGGCGAAATTGGACTGCTTTCAAAACGCCGCTAGCGTCGTGACCTCGTGCACTCATGACCTCATTGTAGTTCAAATAAGCAGAGGGGGATAAAAATCGGTTTATAATGGACGAATTAAGCCACCCGACGTATATATAAGAAAATTGACGTGTGAATGGAGGGAGGAAAAATGGCGGCTCAATTTGAAACGCCCTCAGTCTGTTGTTAACTTGTATGAACCATGCCATCGCTGCACTTACGATTTCGTTAAACCCTATTTGCTCGTACAGTTTACTGAACTGTTTTTTTGCTAACTTTCTTTTGTTGCCGCATTCGAACTTGCTGACCGTGTGCCC